GAGTTCATGGATTATCCGAGATTTCATACAAAAGACATTGCATGACTGTGGCACAAACTAGTGTTTTGGAGTGTGCTGCACTAAATGCCTGCCGAGCTCAACAGAGAGCCCTCCCAGACACTTCAACTGCCTTACAATATTTGTGCATGATGCAATTTGTGACAATATCTGGGGACTTGAGTAAATTGGAGTTCACTGGCTGAGACCTTCCCTGTGGAGTGCTCTGGGGCAGGTACTTGAAAAATTCTTCCACAGTCCAGGTCTCAAGGCCACTTGCATGCTTATTTTATCTCATTGATGTCTTGGTCCTTATGACATAATGGAAAGAATCTCAACTAACCTGTCTAAAACCCCTTTGCCTAAGGAAATAAAGGATGTGCATCATGTCTTTCATGTCAACTTGTTAAGGAAATTTACAAGAGTGAAAGAAAAGGACAAGTGAAAAACAACTCACCACCATTGATAATTGAAAGACAGCACAATTATGAAGTTGAAGAAATACTGACAAGACAAAAATCAGAAAGAAGATAGGATACTTAGTTGGAATGGATATGAATCAGATCACAACTCATGGGAACCAGGAATGAATTCAAGGAATGTGCAAGAATTAGTGAAGTATTTTAATAAAAAAGATCCACAAGTTGAAAATAGATACTTTAGGACACAGAGAAGATGAGGGAGGGCTAAAGCTTTTTGCCATGTAGTTTTTTAATGCTAGCCCGTGGAAAGATACCTGACCAATCAAGAGGGGGTTGAGGTACAACAGGGGGGGGTTATGTAAAGAGCCTACTATAGAGATATAAAAAAACTGCAACATCCACGCTTTGGGCATTAGCTGAAGCTCAGAAGCCTGTTTTACCTGTTACTCTTCACATTGCAATCTGATCATTACATAAATGATACCTCTTGCTCCTATCCGCCCATCTGAGTCACCACAGAAATATGGGTTATAGCCAGTATGGGTGACCAAGAAATGGGTTATGTGAGAGTTGACTGTATAGAATGATGTCAAGGCTGGTTCTTGGGGTTCAGCGGCAAGGGCAAGGGTTCTTGGGTCTGGGAGGTGTTCTGGGTATTATGAATAGATTTTTGGATGGATAGAAAAGCAAGAAGTGCATGAGTGCAAGTACAAAGTAGTTCTCTATCTGTGACATGTCTATGTAGGTGTTTCACGTGTGTAACTCATCCCCTACTGCTATGTGAGATCATAACAATATCCAGAGCTGCATACATACTTAGACCACCTATCACATATGGGACTGATTGAGAGTAAGTTGTCCATTCCTCAAAAGGTGAAATTATTGATCAACTTTTGAAGCTAATTTTGCATCTTGCATCATTTGAACAAAATAGGGGGGCAAGACATGAAATCACTTCATATGAATACTTGGAGTTTTTTGATGCTCATTTGTTTGTTCTGTTGTGCTATTTTTATTCAATGGATCCAATTTGATAAATTGGTGATTGATGAGGAGATGAGAAGGATTATTTGAGACAGTTGAATGATGAGAAGGCAAAATAGATCAAAATCAAAGGAGAGGGTAGTAGAGAGTGATTTCAGGGAATTTGGAGATGAGAGTTCCCTTGATAGCTCAAGTAAATTATGTAGATGCCAATGTGTGTTTTGGACATGATTGTGGATTTTGTGCCTTGACATGGTGCAATTTACTGGTCCAAGGCCATTTGACAAGGCAATAGTGGATGCTCTAAGTCTGGTTAATCTCTCTGAAAAGACTCAGACAATAACTTAAGCTCTACTGAGAAATTGTTTGTTACATGTGGGAGAGGAGGGGAAATATTTTTTCTTGTCCAACCTAGATTTTAATGCTTGATTTTTTTGTTTTCTTTCTCTTGGTTGAAATCCAAGTAATGAAAAAAATGGCATATGCTTGTTCTAAAGGCTCAAATTTTAATTATCATTCAAGTTTGATTTGTCCTAAGAAGTGAGTTTTACTTCAAATCCTGGACTATTTACAATCCATCAAAACACAAGAATTTTTGGTCCTCTGGTTGTTTCAAGAAACCTACCAAGGCTGAAACCTCTTACTGTTTATGTGAAGTTGTTAAAATTAATTGAATTATGCATCAATCTTCATACCAAGGACTGTTCTATTGAGATGAGAAAGTAACTTCTGAGCCAGAGGATACTTAGGTTTATATGCTGGTAGTTCCTTGGGTAAACATTTGATTGTTTTTTCGGCAGTTTTGAACCATCTTGGTCTGAATTGCTGCATCCACTTAAGAATTATGTAAGCCAGGAATTGATGTTGGCTTCTATTGAAGAAATTACAAATAGCAATCCTTGAAATCAGTGTATCTTCAATTGATGGGATTTCAGTTGAGGCTCCAGTATGTGTTGTTCTTTTCAGAACATTGTTCAAGGTAAATGTCTTCATTGGAATAGTTCTCCAAATATTTATTACCCATTGGTAGCCTTCAACCAGAATTCCATTTAGATCTTCTTCATCTGGATCAAAAGTTAATTTGGCTTTCAATAGCAATAACAGGAATTCATGTGTCATAAGCATCAATCTCATTCTAAAGCTGTCTGGTGTTGCCCTTTGTGTAAGATCCGTGCCTGTTTCAAGGAATTGTTCAAGCTCTGTCATGAAGGGAGTAAGGTATTTGAAAATTGAGAGATCAAATGATGATCTGGGCTGATGTTGGTAAATGTTTTGGTTTTCATTGGCAACGACCTGATTCCATGTCTTCCCTGTTTTAGTTTTGAAATCATTTACATGTAGAA